AGATTGTTGGTTTGAAATAAAAACAGATTCCAAACAGCTCAGAGGCATAGGGAGCAGTTCCCTATCCCCCTGCTTAGAGGGCAGCCATATGATCTGCTGCTCAGCTTTGCTTTTATGCAAGAAGCTAGAAGCAAAATGGTCAATGGAAGTTTATACAAAAAAGACAGGACTATGCAGCACTTTAAAGACTAACAAGACGGTTTATTAGGTGATGAGCTTTCGTGGGCCAGACCCACTTCCTCAGATCGATATGTGGAAGAAATTGGCATGACCATATATACCAAAGTGATACAATCAAAACAAGTGACAAAAATGACAAATCAGGTTTAAGAACAGAGCGGGGGAAGGTTAGTGTCTGAGGGAATGACATTAGGGATAATTGGGGAAGCGGTCTCTGTAATGGGTGAGATAATTAGCATCTTTGTTAAGATCCGTACGCAAAGTATCAAATTTAAGCATGAATGACAAATTGAAAGCTAGAGGAATACCCAGAAACCATCTACTTCAAGACAGACCCAAGAAAAACAACAAAACACCACTTGTCATCACCTATAGCCCCCCAACTTAAACCCATCCAACGCATTATCAATAAACCACAACCTATACTGGAACAGGATACTACCCTCCAAGAGGCTCTGGGAGACAGATCCAGTCTCCTATAGACAGCCACCTAACTTCAGGATGACTTCACCACCACCACCGGACATACCACACTAATACCAACCCTGGAACTTTTGCTTGCAACAAACCCTGGTGCCAGTTTTGTCCACATATTTACTCTGCTGACACCATTATTGGACCTAACCATGCCAGTTACAAGATCAAGAACACATATTCCTGTTCATCCAGAAATATAATTTATGCTATCATGTGCCGAAAGTGTCCATCTGCTATGTATACTGAACAAACTTCAGACACTTCGCTAAAGAATCAATGCACATAAAACAGACATCAGGCTCTCAGAGAAAACTGTTGCTTGCCATTTTAACCAGACTGACCATTCTCTCCATGACCTTAAAACATGCATATTGCTTCAAAGAGATTTTAACTCCAGACTTCAAAAAGAAACCTCAGAACTGTCATTCATGCTTAAATTTGACACTTTGCGTACGGGTCTTAACAAAGATGCTAATTATCTCACCCATTACAGAGACCGCTTCCCCAATTATCCCTAATGTCATTCCCTCAGACACTAACCTTCCCCCGCTCTGTTCTTAAACCTGATTTGTCATTTTTGTCACTTGTTTTGATTGTATCACTTTGGTATATATGGTCATGCCAATTTCTTCCACATATATTGACCTGAGGAAATGGGTCTGGCCCATGAAAGCTCATCACCCAATAAACCATCTTGTTAGTCTTTAAAGTGCTGCATAGTCCTGTCTTTTGTTTCAGCTACACCAGACTAACACGGCTGCATCTCTACCACTAATGGAAGTTTGTGTGTGTGATAAACATGGGGATCAAGTGGTGCTTATTCAGTCTCCACCTGCAGCAGCAGAAGCTGGCTCGGTGGTACACGTGCCCCCACTTCCTGTTGGGAGGGACGTGAACTGTGTGGATGGTGGTGCACTCAGGACTCAGCAGAATCAGTCCACTTGAAGGGCTACGATATCTAGAGTTCTCTCACTGCTCAACATGGAGCAGAGAACAGGATCACACGATGCACAATTGTATTTCAACTGGATTCTTATCACCCAGTTCTCGTGCATCAAACTTTAGCAAAGCTGCTTAAATACAACGATTTCCCATCCAAGTTTTTGTTGCTTACAAGACAGCGGTGCCAGGCGCATCGATCCTGCAACTCTTACAAACCCTTTCTACTGTCAGAAGCCTTTCAGTGGCTTGAGATAACCAAGGTATTCAGAGGTAACAGAAACCAGAGCTAAAAATATTCAAATATCAAAGTTCAGCTCTCTTCAGAAAGGTCAAGGGTAAGGTTGGCAGGAATCCTTTACAGAAACAGACATCCAAGCACAGGGACACCAACTCCCATGCTTGCGGACAGCCCATTCTGCAGAAACGAAGCCAGCTGCAGTCTGAAATTTCCTGGAAAGTGGAGAATTCACAACTGGCCCAGTTCTTCACACAGATGCCAGTGCAGAGTCAGGGTGAGGATTCACAATGCCCATGCAGAGGGACATCCGTTGTTGGAAAAACCTCTATCAAGCTAAGACTTGCTTTGAGAGTAGCAATTTAGTGCTTGGTTTGGAGAATCAGAAGCGGATGAGTTGGGTTTAAGACCATTCTCGCTGAGCTTTGCTATGTTTTCTAGCTACAGGCTCTACTAAGCGACCTTAACGGCATTAACGTTTGTCAAATCCCAAGCCACTGTGGCACCTTGAGCATCTTCCACTGCCTAGTGCAACAGTGCAAGCCTGCGCAGGGGACAGACACTAGCTGGATCTAGTATTAGAGGCACATTCCAGTTTCAGTTGCTGAACACTTTAGCTTAAAACCTCTGTGGACTGTAGGCAAAGTTAAGATTTCACCCAAGCAGGACAGACATTAGAAAATGTTAACAAAAGGGATCAAGTATCTGTACTTTTAGCCTCCTGTTTTAAGTTCTCTTTAAAGGTAGGCTCCGTAGCCCTGTGCTTGAAGTCTGCTATTTGACTGGACTACACGATGGGAGGGTTTGATATTGTACTAATGGTTTAGCCAGTGATCTCATGTCAGGCAGGTCTTCCCTTCTGCAATCACTGTAGTCAGCCCAACTTGAAGGTACTGCCTTGCTCAAATGGCTAAAGTCTGCATCCAGGGGACTTCTGGCCTGACAAAATCCAAGATCTCAGGTTAACGTGACTAGAACAGTTTTCTGTCTATTTTTCAGCTAGCTTTATTGGCAACAAAGATGCAATTTATCAGCAGAAAGCAGTCTGTCTGATGCTGATGTCAGGAGGTCCAAGAACACTGGAGAACTGAATCAGATTAAACATCTGCCGATTTCTAGAACATCTGTCCATCTTCTGAATGGAAGAGGGTGGCGCATACTGATGCCCTGAGGTTGACGTTGCCTGGTTTTCTGGCTGCTTCAATGTAACCATTTAATTCATTCTCAAAACCACTTTTGAAGGCGTTCTTTTCCCCCACCCTGGTCACTGAAGTCCATTTGAGTAGAAAACCTTTCACCTCCTACCTTCCAGACTTGGTGAGGACAATAATAGCCCCACTGCAGCACTTGAAGGAAGCTTCTACAGCGCCAACAGCGGCAGCTTCAGTAGGATCCCGGTTCAGAGGGGCCAGCCGACGGAGTTCCTCAAACAATTGCCTGTGAAAGATGGCGGCTTCGGCCTCGCGAGCAATCTACAAGAGCAACACGCATTCGGGGAAGACGACATTCAGGTCAGTCAGCACTCAGGTGACACAGGGTAAGGTGAGGTGCCATGCCCAACAGGATGTCACTAGTTAACCTTAATTTTGCTATTCAGAAGATTTACCAATCACTTTACACTAGCAAATCCAGATTAGCGGATGGTGCCAAGCTGGGGGCAGTAATCTTAGCACACTGCTTGCCAATTTGAGGTTGCCCAATCAGTATGTTATTTAGCAACTATTCACCCAGCAGGCAACTGATAGAGGGGTTTCTCTTCTGAATTCTGTGACACCTGCCACATCACCCCACCCTGCCTGGCCAGCACACTCTTCACATCCATGTCCAACTGCCAGGCACTCTTGCTCTGCTTCTACCTACCTCCAATCCTGCTGTGCTACAAGGCTGATGTGAACTCAGATTCTGCTAGCGTACGCATGCCTGACGTGGTGAACGAAAGAGCTGCCCTCAGGGCGTGTTCTGTGCGTTGCAGCAGAACACGTTTCTACTTATCGAAACGTGGCCTGAAGCACACGTCGTTTGCCTGGGTCAGAGAATCTAACCCACTCTGGAGTGAAAACGTTTATTTATCTTTAGGGCCTAAGTCTTTCTTGCCCTCTCTGAGCCCTACCTGCCAGACTCGGTCAGAACTATCAGAGCTGGAGCTAAGCACTTAAAAGAGGCCTCCACAGCGCCTACAGCCATGGCATCAGCAGGGTCCCTGTTAGCAGCAGTGACGCGGAAAAGTTCTTCGAACAGCTGACGGTGAAAAATTGCGGCCTCAGCCTCGCGAGCGATCTGCAGGCCGGGGTAAGAGGGAGGGAGAAGAAAGGAATGACACAAAGAAGGAAAGAGATAGACCAGAGTAATGTGATATTGAGTTAATTTGCTTAATTTTCATAGTCATGCAGTCAAAGAGTATTAGTGATAGGGTAGTGACACTGCCTTTGGCTCAGAAGCCAGATTTAACAGACAAGCATGGTCAGAATTCTAACAGTGCCAAGGCCAGTGGACCTTCAGGGTTTTCAGAATGGGACCTCTGGCTATGTTAGCGGGATCGCATTTTTCAGAGGACCCCGAGCTTTCCAGTCATGCTGCACTAGGGCTTGAAATCAAGGACAGTGACCTGTCTCCACTTGCTTAGGACAGGGATGGTGGGGGCCACTTCCATACCAAAGCTGCTTGCCTAAGGATACGCTACAGGCACGTGTACCTGGTGGATCAGCACACTTCACGGCGGCCGATTTCTAACATGTTGATTTGAAGAACATGAACTGGTCTAGGAGGACCCTGCCGGTGCGCACCATCGGTTGCTCAGTGCAGTCTTCCCCCCCTCCCCAGTGCTATTTTAAGCACAGCAACTGATGTACACCACTGAGCTTTAGGAATCAGTCCCCATAGTGTAGACAAGCCCTAAACGACAGCCTGCTTCAGATCCTGCTTCTGCACTTTTCCAGAGGCACAACTTGTAGGTGTGCTGGGGAACAGTCAGCAATAGAGGGCACACGACCTGTCAAGTCAGCAAGTGCATACGTATCACTCTCTTCAAGGCACAGAGCACTGTTAGAATCCACACCAAGAATCCAACTGGAGCAATGCCACCTTCCACCTCACTCTTGGTGAGCAAAAGGCTGCAGGTGCATTTTATGGTTTTGGCTGTTGCCTTCGAGAAGAGCCAAGAAATATTTTTTACAGTTGCACCACCCTACCCCTTAGTAATACGGTGTACAGTACAGGAACCAAGCCTTCCTTCTATGGTTGTTTGCTACCCAATGCGCAGAAACCCTCATTTTATGTTGGTATCTACTCTACTTGCTCAAGTGTACAACTACAGAAGACCCTTCTGTTTGTTCATACAATGAGAAAAGCTTCTACATCTAGTTTATGGACTCCATGGCCATTCTACATAAGTCTGTAGAATAATCTAAGCATCTTACACAGGTTACTATGTATGTCTAAGAGAAGGCATTTAAGGCAAGACAAGAATTCTTGTCTGGCTAGGCAATGCTAGCCAGCCCTTCACAACCATATAAAGAAGGCTTGTAGAGTTGAAATGCATGCAGAAAAGTTGATAATCTCCTCAAGAGGACTAGCTGAAGTTATTTATAGCAAGCAAAACAAATGGAGGCTGAGACAGATTTAATTTATCTACATAGAGATACTTCACTCTACCGCATCTTCCAGGTAAGCACTAAGCACTGTACAAATGTTAGTGAATTATCAATTGTAATTTTTCTTCATCTACATTACAAGTTAAGTGGCTTGTCTACAGTCCTGGATTTTAGCCAGGAGATCCTTTATAACAATAATTCAATGGAGACACCCAGATAATAATGCAAATTAAATGCAATAAAAGCCACAGTATTAGCCACAAGTTTCCATTGCACTGGGTGTAAAACTTGTTAAAAAAAGGGGGAATACAAGTAAGTTTCCACCTCATACTGCAAACATGGAAGCCCGGAGCCTCACGGTGCATCTTCAGTTCTTGAATCAAAGGAGGGCAGCTTTGAGTAACACACAGCATAAGCTTGAATTTACTAGATGGCTCCTTAGCATACAAGAGGTTTTAGACAAAAAGCCTTCCCCCTGCTTTTAAGCTAGCTCTCCTAAAGGTCCCTGGCAATTCATTCACATGGATCTCATTAACATTCTTTCCCACTGCCATTTTTACCAGCTTTCTTCAAGCTTGTGGGAGGATCTGGCCACATTCTTGATTGTGCGGGATGTCGGAGAAAGGAGTTTAAACCGTCTACACCACATGCTTATTTCGGTATAGCTATGTTGGTCAGGAATGTGAAAGAAATCCATACCCCAACCAATGCAGTTATACCAACAAAGTAGCTAGTATGCCAACAGGACAGAGCTCTCCCATCAGCTTGGACGTGCTCCGGACATGCTTCAGCTGGACTGATATTAAACCTAAAGAGCAGATCATGCCACAGATTGGTCTACCCTGCCTGGCAGTCTGGGCAACCGATTACCTTAATGTGAACTAGGATCTTTCACTACACATTCATAGCAAACTCATGGGAGAGTTACTGCCCTTTAGGTGTGCACACTGTAGTCCAAACTGCAGAGCAGTACTTCTTTGAACTTCACTGAGCCCTTTGGACAAAGTGGCAAGGGCAGAGTTTAAAGACTTTTGCTTTTCCCCCTGGTTGGGTAGGTTGGCAGCTTTTTAAAATGACAGGGCCAATGGAAGACTTGGGAGCTGCTTCCTTCCCAGTAGAAGGTATCCTGTCCAATATCTGGAAAGTTGGTACAGGTTGAACCTCGGGTTGGCAACATCTGTGGTCCAGCATGATTTTAGTTAGCCCGATGTCCATTTATCACAGGTGTGGCCAAGTGTCCCAAAGTCCCATAAAGTTTGTTTATAGCCACTAGTTCTGGCTCTGCAAGTTCTGTGCTGCTATTTAGTTCTGATTTACCGTGACATGTCTTCTGAGAGCCCAGTAAGCTGTGGACATGCTGGTAATGCTGCCAGAAAATACTGACATTGCCTGGCTCAGGCGAGCGATGTGGGATACGGCTGTGCAAGTTTCGGTGCAGGGGCAGGTGCTGGATCTGGGTGGTGCTTACCTTGAATGGCTCCCACAAGCAGCCACATGGCCCTGCTTCTCCTACATAGGAGTCATAGCTAGGCAGCTCTGCATGCTGCCTCCAACTGCAGACACTGTCCCTGCTGCTCCCATTGGCCATGGCTCCTGGCCAATAGGAGCTGAGGAGCTAGTGCTTGGGGGTGGAAGCAGTGCACTGAGTCCCTGGGTGGTGGTTCAATCTAGGGATGTTAAATTGCGAGTAGACTAAGCAAATTAGTCGATAAGGGCGCCTCTGCCTCTGAAGTGTAGCAACAGCCCTAGGGCTGCTGCTACACTTCAGAGGCAAAAGTGCCACTCCCCCGCTGACCCCAGGCTCCATGCTTTGAACAACCCCATCCTCTCTCTCCCACCCACCCCCGCCACTACCTTGTTTCTGATGGAGGCAGCAAGGGGGGAGCGACTAGTTGGCTAGTCCTTCACATCCCTAGTTCGACCTTGGAGCCTGCTGGCCCTGTGCTAACTGGACTTTCAAAGAAGCTCAGAAATGCTGGATTGAAGAGCTTTCCAGTTGATCAAGTGCTGGACAAATCACGTTTTACTGTAACTTCTAGAAAGAACAGCTCCTCTCAGTTACTTTCACAGTGGTCAATGATGGCAAGCAAGGAAGTGTCTAGCTACTCCTAGTAACGCAGAGGTATTTAGAACTGCTGCAACAGGCAGGGTTTCATTTGGGGATAGCCCAAGTTCAAGAGAAGGTGAGGACAGAACCTTTCATGGTTAGGATTCTGAAGCCAGCAGGCACATCCATTCTGTGTTTCATCAGAAACCTCAGTTTAAGGTTTGTAACAGCATGCGCTGGTTCTTCTCTCCCCCCCCCCCCAAATGTTTTAACATGCAGTTCTCAAACCTATTTTGCCACTATGAAGCCATGTTTTCAGAATTTAACCTGGAAGTTGGGAACCTACCATCAATGCAGAAGAGGTATGAGGAGCTGCAACCCCAGGGAAACTGCAGATAACCATTAAAAACTGTTCATTGCAGAGGCAGGATTTTGCTGAGAGAGAAAGCCAGGCCTAGAACCACTTCTACTGATCTGTTTATCATGATTCACCTGCAGTAACTTAAAATCCTGGATCACAGGAGTCCATTGCTGAAATTAGGTTTAAGTGCAGCAAATTTCCAGATATCGGTATCAGGGTGAACCCTCAAGATTTCCCAGAAGCAGCAGCTTTAGGCAGGCAGTTAGTGAACAGTTTACAGTGCAGAGCAAGCACAAGCTCTAAGGTCATTGCCCCACACCAGTCTGGTTTCATGGTCTGGTCCCTAAGTGCATGTGGACCAAGCACACTTACATAAGGCCTGTCAGTGGAGATAACAGCTAGGCTTATTTAATCTACATAACCTGAACTGCAACTAGGGCATTATCAATGGTGGATTCACAGCAGTTAACCAGAGAGTATCAGTACTTTAACACTTAGCATTAAACTTCAATTAATGGGAAGATGAGTTGCATGAACTCAAAGCAGAGCAGAGGTTTCTGGCAGTTTAAACATGTAAAAAAATTAAGTCCTGTCAGTCATCATGCATGAAACATCCCCATAAGACAGTAAGTCAAAGTAACAGTACAGTAAAACTGAAACAAGCACCCCCTTAGACAAGCCACCCCACGTGTTCATCATTTCAGTTAGAATGGTTTTCCTGTAAATGGAGTGGCGCTCAAGGCCAAAGGGATCCTTGGAGCAACTCTGCAACATAAAAGGCTTCAGGAGTGGAGTTAAGATTAAACAGTGGATTCCAAGGAATCACCACTAGGATAACAAGGAAGAAAGCTCAACCTTGCATTAAAAACCTAAGTTAGGGTTTCTTAGAGTCCACTTCATTGTGGACATCTCAGTACCACACTTCAGTTCTTGCCTCTAAGTGATGAGTACAAAAAACCATGGCAAGTCCCATTAGCCCATCTAGCATGCAAAGGAAATCATTTCTCTGCCATTAGACCGATGAAAGGCAGCACCACACGGATCTGCTCCTGCTCAGGCTACAGTGGGCATGCTCCATGTAAGCATACGCCAAGGTGAGTGGGAGGAAGAAATACGGGAAGGGGAAAAAGCCAAACCACGGACTTACTCCACTGCAAAGGTTGGTGGGAGCATGGACAAAGAGCTGCCCCTCCAGAACTGCTACGTGTGGCCACTGGACTGCGAATGCATTTGACACCCAGGTATCTGCATGGAGGGAGGAAGCAGGCTACCTCCTTCCAAAGTTGCCCCTTTGGACTATGCAATGCTACTTCTGGAAGCCCAGGCATTACTCACAGCGTGCTGCATGCGGACAGCCTCAAGAGGGTAGTCTCCTTTGGCCGTTTCCCCAGACAGCATGATGCAGTCTGCTCCATCCAAGACCGCATTGGCTACATCACTGCCCTCAGCACGGGTTGGGCGAGGTTTCTTAATCATGCTCTCCAACATCTGGAAAGGAGAAGAAGTCAGGCAGAGCAAATTAGCATCCCACTACAGAAGAGATCCGCTGCTTCTTAAATGCACCTATGTCACCACTAGGATTCCTTTAGAACATTTCATTCTGTAGTGTACAGTACAAAGTTAATAAATATGCTGTCTGGCCACCAGAACAAGTCAGCATGCATGGAAACCGCTGACTGTACTCTGGTATACCAAATCTCACGACAGCTAGAACAGAGCATTACAGCAGATTTCACCAAGGAACCTGCTACAACATGAGATTTACCACCACAAATTGATGCTACAATTGGCATTTATCCATGACAACAGTGTACCAGCCATATTCAAGTACCTGTTGGTCAGCAGCAAGGTAAGCACTGAATATGCAGGTGTGTGATTGTTTAGGTTCATAATGCAACGAGGCATGGATTAGAGAAGTTCAACATCAATAACTTATGCACAGTGTTATGGCTTATTACTATTACCATGTCCCAAGTGAGACGGTTCGGGATTATACAGGGTCTTTCCTTCATGCAGTCATTTCGTGGAGTAGTGATGGAAAGAAACTTGTAAGGTTTGCTGACTATTCAGACACTCTTCCTCTCCTTGCACCCCCAAAAAGGCAGACTACTATTTCAGCAGTCTGACTTGCTATGAAGAGGAATACGTTAAACTGAATTTACAGCCACCTGAGGCTGAAGTACCCACAATCTGCAGCCAAATTAGCATTTTAGCACTTTGCCAGTGAGGCTGAGGGTGGAAAGCATGGTTGAAATAAGTAACAAAACCATCCCTCACTCCCGTGTTCTCCTGCATCCCTTTATTTTTAAAGATGCACATAATCTTTCCTGTGAGGTAGTCTCAACTGGACCATGCCAGGAGTAGCTGTGCATGGTTACAACAGCCATATGGTTTTTTGGCTATCCCACTAATGGAGATCAGGCTGTTCTTGAAGCACCGGCTGTAGAGATACTAGGAAGAGGATCCTTGCATTACTGGAGAGCTGTATACAACTCCCCCAAGAGTAGCCAGAATTACAGAAAGATAGCAACCTGCCCACCCCCCACCACCGCATTCTAAAGCTCACCTTCCAACTGTCAGGGGAGTGAGACGAGCGTCAGCTGCCATTACTGACAGCTTAGAAATGTTATTTGTCAATCCCGTGGATCCTCTAATTGAGGATGTAGAGCAGCAGCAGAGTTTGAGATTTTTCTCCACACAAGAGACTGCTCCATTCTCCAGACTTATTTCTGGCTAAAGCTCCATCTCAGAGCCCATGGCTGTGTCTACGCTGGCATGAATTTCCAGAAATGCTTAAAACAGAATAGTTTTCGTTATAAGTATTTCCGGAAAAAGAGCATCTACATTGGCAGGCTGCTTTTCCAGAAAAGCCCTTTTTCCGGAAAAAGCATCTGTGGCCAATGTAGATGTGCTTTTCCAGAAAAGAGCCCCGATTGCAAAAATGACAATCGGGGCTTTTTTCCGGAAAAGACTACTGGGCTGTCTACACTGGCCCTTTTCCGGAACAGTGTTCCGGAATAAGGACTTATGCCCGAGCGGGAGCAGCATAGCTTTTCCGGAATAGCGGCTGATTTTGTACAGCAGAGCATCGTTGCTTTTCCGGAAATTCGAGGGCCAGTGTAGACAGCTCGGAGCTTATTCCGGAAAAGCAGCTGATTTTCCAGAATAAGTGGCCCAGTGTAGACACAGCCCATGTGTAGAAGAGTTCACACAGAACCCTGAACTCCTCTGATTGCTTTCAAAGCCCTAAGAGGAACTGTCTCAAACTCAGTACCCTTATAAAATGCAATTGGACTTCTGAATCAGAAGCTGAATCTTTTGCTTCCATTAAATGCAGGGACAGGCCAGTGAACATAAGAGGAAATCAAAGTGAGACACTGGCCAACCCACTAGTGTTCTGCACTTGCATGAAATGTTTCCAGGCCCCATATAAAAGGAGTAACCTTTTATATATTCCAAGCCAGGCAGGAGGGCCAGTTACTACAGTAGTTGGAAGGCATTTCTTCCCACACCCAACTATTTGGTTGAGCCGAGGTACTAGAAGGGTTTATTGACCAGCTGGGGTAAGCAAGAACAGAAGCCTCTATTTACTTGCATCTTACCCATGAGAGGACAGAAAGGTGGCAGAAACCCAGCACTCTGCGATTCTGCTCCGCACTTCACACCAACAGGAATATCTGAAGCAATGTCTAAGTGCGCACTGGGCACAGCAACCCACAAGTGCTGCTGGTGAAGCTACACAATGAAAACTGCCATGACAAATGTCAGTAGATTTTAGAAGTACCTGAGTAGCACAGATGATGGGTTTCCCAGCCCTGTTGCAGCGTCCAATCATCATCTTCTGGGCTAGAAAAACTTTCTCCGCAGGGATCTCAATGCCCAAGTCACCACGGGCCACCATAATGCCATCACTGGCCTCCAGAATTTCATCAAACCTCATGGCCACAAAAACAAACACACTTAACTTTCCCCACCCCATAGTAACTAAAACCCAGACGTATCTTACAGCTGGAGAAAAGGTGGAAGTCACTCTCTCCAACCAGCTACTTCTCAATTAGTACAAGTCTGCACAATCATCGGAGCAAGAGCGTATTTGTTCCCATAAGCTATTTCAACTTATTTGAATATACAATTTCATCCATAGGACTGATGTTGATTTTTAAATTGAGATCAATATATATTTTCAGTTGTGTAATTTTTTTTTGGGGGGGGGGGGACAATTTAGCGACAAACAATAGGATTAAAAAAAGCTAAAAGGAGTACACCATGTAAAATATACAAACTAAGTCAAAGCTGTATCTCTTTTTACTATTCATTGATTATCCCATTTGTAACAAGTTAAATCACTGGATTCCAACAACCTTATCAAGCAGCATTTTTCTCACTCCTGCTATGGGTAAATATTGATAGGAAGCATGTAGAGGGTGAAATGATGTTCACCAACAAAAATCTACTCTCATTCAAAGCCTACTTATGTGAAAGGCCAGTTACAATACCAGGTGTACCTTTAAAAGGAAACAAGATAATTTTGGTAGAAAATTGGAATCTGATTAGCTAAGTTGAACAAGGATCATGAGTTGTGACCCAAGGTTCACCAGCAGTTCTGTGTTTAGCCTCATATCCCAAGTCAGCTATCGTTGGCTCAGCCTTGCTGCTGCAGCTGGGTTTTGTGGGTGTGAGGTAGCAGGCCAGGGGTCTCAGACATTAGGGGGATGTTAAAATGTGTTACGTAACTGCTAAGATTCAGCAATTACAGGTATGCAGCAGGTCATTCCCCTGCTCCTGCTTGATACAGAGGAAGCAATATGGGGAGGGAGGAGGGCGGTCAATATGGGGGGGAGGAGGGCGGTCCCTGGGAGCTGGCAAGTAACTGAAGATTAGCTGATGAGCCCAGGTTCATTGATTAACTATATACTGTCTCATCCCTAGTGCACATACCCATTGAACCAGCTGAGAAATAATGCTCAATACTTTCGAGTCACTGCCAGCTATTGCTAGAACTAGGCATGAATTTGTGTTACGGAAAAGAGGTAGAGACCTTGCTAATTAGCTTTACGCACCAGGCAATCCACTGTAAGTTACTAAAGTTACTGATGAAGTAAGGTTAAGTGCATGATAAAACTGGGCTAAAGAGTCAAAGCGTCTGTCACATTACTGGACTTTGAAGGGAGCAGCCAGAGGTAGGGGTGTTGGCCCCAGAAAATGGTATAAAAGGGGGGCCATGTGAGGTGTTGAATAGAAGCTCGCTGTCTGCTAATCCTATGTACGCTGTTCATGTGTTTGTATAATGTCTGTGTGTGCAATTAGCAGCATGTACTTGTATGGATACTGAATACGGGTTAAAAGATGATGATTCATTGGGGTGATTCCCAAAGTGGTTTTCCACTACCTGTCTTTTCCCCTCTCTCCCATGTAAATCTCTCAGTGGATCTGGCAGTGTTTGCTAGCCTGCCGCTCTTCTTCCCCCCTTTTCCCTCCCCCCCCTGCAGGCGCCC